TATCAACATATTTTATCTGAAAACATCTGTAAAGAATAGAAACCTAAGAAAAATAAATACAGCTAACAAGAAAAGTGCAAATAACATAACAAATTATCCTAGAAGAAAAATGAAGAAAAAATAAAAACCCTAATAGAAAAAGATGCCAAAGGAGTTAAAAACAGCAGAAACAACAAAGCAGAAACATAGGAACTATTAAGAGATTTCATTCTAAAACTACACAAGGAAATAAAAATGAACATGGAACATAAATAAAAGATGTATTGGTGAAGGAGTAGGCCTCAAACATCGTGGACAGATGAAACAACTTATTGGCTTTTGGATTTGGTTTTTGTGCGACTAAACTACAGAATGGGTAAACACATAAAAGGGGAGAGGGGAGGAATAAGGTAGAAGGGAGTATGTGATGTACCCTAATCAAGTCAAGGATAAGCAATGAAATGAAGATAACTCCTATAGTCTTTTAGGAGAAGAGCTGCTATGGAATAATGGGTATGATGCCAAAAGGAAAGATTGAAACAGAGTTGAAAAAAGTGGAAATTTCAATTCAGTTATGAGAGGGAGTGCCACTAAAGACTACTCCCATGGAGGAGGGAGAGAGAGAATCCTTAATGGGAGATGGGAATCTTATAATGGGCATAATTTGCAGGGAGTCATTGCTTAGAAAGACTACTACCTCTGAGAAAGTTATGCTTCCATGGACAGCATCTTGCTTCAGGAGGGGAATCAGAGCTGCTGGTGGTAAACGACATCCAGAAGAATGAGAGAACATGGACCCGCAGAGGAGATTTCATGGGAAAGAAAATGATCATGAAGAGGGCAGGGAAAAGAAATGGAGCACAGAAATCATAGTACATGGATGTGATGAAATGTTACTGCACTATAAAAAATGAAGAACATGATAAATACAGGAAACATGGAAAGACTTACATGGTTTGATACAAAGTGAAGCAGAAAGAAGAAAGCAACATACATAATTATCACAACAATGAAAATGCAAAGAACCACCACAAAACAAAGTAAAATGTTGATAAGTTATAAGAAACAAGCTTAGCACCAAAGAAAAGATATGAAAAGATACTTCTCCCCACCACCACCACCACCACGATGAAACCCTCTCCATTCCTTTCTAGAAGTGGGGAAGGAGACATTCCACAGTTATGAAACATTACATATAGCATCAGAATTTTTCAATATGTTCATTGATTATACTAAAATCTTGTGTTACTTTTGTGTTTTGTTTCTTTTTAAAAAATTTATTTGTTATAATCAATAGCTCCTTGGGAAGGGAATCAGGAGAAGAAATCCTGGCCAATCTAGGCGATACAAAAAAGTAAAAATCTGTTTTTAAAAAAGAAAAGTTTATTCTTCCCTCCCTGGTTCAATAGGGAAAATTCACATGTCTTCCCATTGAATGGAAAAAATATATATAACCTCCCTGGAAGAAAAAAGATAATAAGAAAGAACATGGTCTGAATATCTATAACTGTCCCAGTCATTGTTCAAGTGTAACAGGCTTCAGGAAGAGATGTGAGAGGGAGCTGTGGTGGCTATGAGCTATTTCCACAGTGAATGGGGAAGAACCTACATAAACATTAAGGACGTCAAGTTGTATGGGAGAAGTTGGAACTCCACTCATCCTCTTCACAGCTGCCTAGAAAGTTGAACTGAGAAGTAAAGTTGCCAATTCTTTGAAAAACAGAAATTGCTTCTCTAGCAACTTAAAACATAGAAAATGGGCAGCTGAGCTCAATCACTTCCCTGCTAACACCCAGAAACAGGCAATGAGATGAGAGCAGCTATGCTCCTGAAGAACATCAGTGAAAGGGAATTACAGAAACTTAATTGCCAAATCTAATGGCCTCTTCTAGTCTTCATCTTTGACCTCTCTACCCCTTTTCACGCTGTTTATCATACCTCCTTCTTGATACCCTCTCCCCTCTTGGATTCCATGGTGCTTCCCTTTGGAGGTTCTCCTTTTTGTCTGGTTATTTCTTTTCTGTGCCCTGTGCTAAGTCCAGCTTCCCGTCTCCTAAGTGTGGGTGACTTCTAAGGATCTTACCTGAGCATCCTTTTCTCCCTAACATTCCTCTCTTCTGACCTTAGGTCTTATATCTTCAACTGCCTATTGGACATTTCAAATTGGACGTCCTGTACACATCTTAAACTTAACATGTCCAAAACTGAACTCTTTATCTTTACCCCCAAACCTTCCCCTCTTACTGACTTCCCTATAACCTTCCAGGGCACCAGCACCCTCCAGGTGTCATCCTCAACTTCTCCCTTTCTCTCTCCCCTCTATATTCAGAGTTGCTAAGTCCTGTTAATTTGACCTTCTCTCCTCTGACATTGCTAAAGCCTGGTGCAAGCCCTCATCAACTCAAACATGCATCTTTAACATAGCTTTCTACGTGGATTCCTCAAGTCTTTTCCCCCTCATTCTGTCCTCCACTCAGATGTCAAATCAATCTATTTAAGCATAAGTCTGACCATGTCATGCCCTTCCCTGCAATAAACTCCAGTGGCTTCCTATTTCTCCTGGGATCAAATACACAATCCTCTCTTTGGCTTTTAAAGTCCTTTATAACCTGACACCTTCCTACCTTTCTAGCCTTCTTACATTTTATTCTTTTTATACATCGTCTACAACCCAATGATATTGGCCTCACATATGACACACCATCTCATGACTGATGCCTTTTCATTGACTGTCCCCCATACCTGTAATGTTCTACCTAGTTGTCTGCACTTCCTAGCTTCCTTAAATTTCTTTAGTTCTCCACTAAAACCCCACCTTCTACAAGAAGCCTTTCCTGGGACCCCCTCAATGCTAGTGTCTTTGCTCTGAAATTATCTCCAATTTACCATGTACACAACTTGTTGACACAGGATTGTTTTGCATGCTGTTTTCCCCATTCCAAGCTCCTTGAGCATAGGGACTATTTCTACCTTTCTTTGTATCCCCAAAACTTAGCACAGTGACTAGCACATTATCGTTCTTGTTCCCTTCATTTTCAGCCAACTTTTTGTGACCCCATTTGGGGTTTTCTTGGCAAAAATGCTGGAGTTGTTTACCATTTCATTTTCCAGCTCATTTTACAGATGAGGAAACCAAGGCAAACAGGGTTAAGTGACTTCCCCAGGGTCACATAGCTAGTATCTGAGGCCAGATTTGAACTCAGGAAGATGAGTCTTCCTGATTCTAGGCCTGACACTCTATCTGCTTTACTACCTGACTGCCAACATTTATTAAGATAAAATATTGTTGACTTCCCTGAAGGTCTTATCTACTGTCATCAACTGGATTTATTAACTTTATTCAAACAGTTCTCAAAGCCATACATACAACTTTTATTCTATCCTGATCTTCAGCCTCATATTTCCAACTCTTCCTTCAACATGACAAGCCTCTATTGTAGGAATGACAAAGAGAGCAGAAATTGGTCTCTTGGCCTAACGACCAAAGCACACACCCTGAGGTCTGGCTAGCATGGAAAGTTGCTCTAACTGGTGAGTGACTCAAATTCGTGCTCTTTCTTCTCAGCCTAGTTCTGGATCATGTTCACAACTATCACCTGTGCCTGTGTTCAAAGTGGAAACAGACAATATAGGCACAGTGGGCACTTTGTTCATAACTTAGAAAACCTAAGTGGTTACAGTGAAATGTAACTGTAACTTGAACAAGAAGTTAAAGAAAGAAAAACAAAACCCTTAACCAAGCACACATTTGGATATGGATGAAGCTAACACCCCACCAAGGGCTTTGGCAACAGTTATTTAAGGATCATGTAGAGTAGAACAATTCACTAAGGCAGGTAAGTGGTACAGTGGACATAGCGCCAGGCCTGAAGACAGGAAGACCCAAGTTCAAATGTGACTTCAGATACTTAATAGCTGTGTTACCCTAAGCAAGTCATTTAACCCTGTTTGTCTCCGTTTCCTCATCTGTAAAATGAGCTGGAGAATGACAAGGTAAACCTCTCCAGTATTTTTGCCAAGAAAACCCTAAATGGGGTCATAGAGAGTCAGACATGACTGAAAAATGGCTAAACAGCGACAACAATTCACTGATTCCAAAAGAAAGGGGGAAAAGTTTTATAAGAGTTCAGCCAAGGGATGAGAGAATAGTGAACATACTGGAATCAAAAAAGAGGTTAAGTCTATGGTGATGCAGCAAATAGGATTACAAAGGCATTACAACTACATATTAGCAAGACATTTAATATGCAACCTAAGAGATAGCCTCAAGGCTACTTGTAATCAAAAAAAAAGAGGTAGGATAATCAGAGAGCAGTAGTGGATCATAAAGCAATAGGTGGATAAGCCAAGGGTTGCATAGATGTCCACAAAATATTAAAAGAATGCCCAGCTGATCTCTAAAGAATCGGATAGACACTTATGGTCAAGAATTTCATGGGATGAGGTTTTGTTCGATGAGAAGTGCGAGAGCAAAGGGAAGTATTTGCACCGATGGGATCGCAGGTCTATTGACACAGTCAAATACGTAAGTTGTCTAGTCACCTCTAAGGCAGGTTAAAGCTTTTGAGAGATCTTTTGTATTGTCCCATGAACATTTTTTTTCAGTGTTCTCAGACCAGCATGAGACTAAAACATAATAATAGTTTGGAAATAAATCTTCCCAAAGCTATAGACTTAAGAATGAATACTCCAAAAGATGGTAGAGATGGAACTTCTAATCAGCTCAAGAAGAGAAAAGATAAAAGTATAGATGATAGGCATGTGGCAGAATCTAGAGATATTTGGAAACATCCATACTTACGCTTTTGAGATACATGCCATAGAGGAAAATGTACCATCCCATAAGCTATCCCTCAAGTCTCTTATGTCAGAAACAACTCTTGTCTCCACAAATCATAGGCACTGACACAATGGGGCATGTCTCAGTTTCCTTAAAAAGAGAGTCCTTCTGAATTCCGTTCCCAAGAGTCCCAGTTCAACCTACAAGGAAGAAAGGGAGATTTCCTGGTTATGTTGTATACCTGTAGTCACAGGAGCAGCTTCTGTCCATGGGAGAGTGGTCGGAGCTGGGGTTACAGCTTGATTAGAAGTTGATTTCTGAGGAAGAGCTGCTGTTGTTAATTTGAGAGTGACTGTAGTCAATTGGTATGTCATTACAGTTGTTAGGTTAGAAATGGCTGAAGTGGTCATTTGGAGAGCTGTTGTGGCCATCGTAGCCGGACAAGTGGTTGTAGCCAGATGAGTAGTTACAGCAGGAAGAGCAGTTGTAGCAGGAAGAGGAGTTGTGGCCAACTGAGTAGTTGTAGGTAGATGAGTCGTTGTAGTCGGAGGAGTAGTTGTTGTCGGAGGAGTAGTTGTAGTCGGAGGAGTAGTTGTTGTCGGAGGAGTAGTTGTAGTCGGAGGAGTAGTTGTAGTCAGACGAGGAGTTGTAGTTGGAGCTGAAGTAGCCAAATAAAAGATATATCTGACACCAAATACAGGGCAAGAGAAATATAGATTCAAAAATAAACACAAAAACAGAGACTGTACTCAGCTAAGAACATCACATTTTTAGTTCTAGAAGATTCCACTATGTAAAACATTCAGCTGCCTATGATTTCATACTAAAGAGCCAGTATTACTTACATATGTAGATTCTGCTTAGCTCTAATAAGCCAAGAAAGGTCCACTTATTTTTTAGTGAACATGGAAATAGGTATATCAACTGCTGAGATCAGTAAGTGAATTCAAATTTTTGCAGAGTAGTATACTCAGTATTGGTTGAACTGTAGACTTTACCCTACATACTATAAGTTCATATATAAGTAACCTGTGTGTATACTTAAAAATACAAATAACCAAAATTGCAAATGATATGAAAATGAGAAATGATTTATCAGACGTAATCTTCTCTCAGGAAGATAAACTATATCTACTTTGGAAGCATATGTAGGTTTTCAGCACTACTCTTTGCTACTGCATATTTAATCTTCAATTCCCATTACTTCCTAAGAAAACAATCTCTAGCAACCCTGTTTCATAAATCCGAAAATTTCCTTTCCTAACACACAACTGTTGGCTTACCTTTCTCCAGCTGCAGAACCACTTCCTTTTTGATATCGTTAAACCACCCAGGCACCTCTATCCGGCAACAGTATGTGCCAATATCGCCTTCATTTGTGTTTTTGATTGTCAGGGTCACATCACCTCTCCAGATATTTCCTCGAAGTTCATAGTTTGAAGACTTCGACCATGTCACTCGTCTTCCATCAGTCCTGATAACCTCTGCACCGCATTTGCTATTGGGACATTTATCCTTTCCCCAGCACATCACATGAGTCTTTCTATTTGTAACTCTGTAGAAACAAGGCAACTGTACAGAGTGACCCAAAAACCCAGTCACAGTGTTTGCTATGGCTTGGGCTGCACAAAAAGAGAGAGAAACTCAAGTCAAGCACACTGAATTTCCATGTTTTCTTTTCTACTGCTTCTCTAATAGGAGGAAACTGAAGCAAATAGGGTTTCATAACTTGCCTGGATCACACAGCTAGTAAATATCTGAGTACAGATTTGAACTCAGAAAGATGAGTCTTCTTGAATCCAGCCCCACCTAGTTGCCCTGGGAGTACATTAGATGGCCTCCAAGGGCCCTTATAGTCTTAGATCTATCTATAATTCCTAGTCCAGCATACTTCCCTCTATACCACTCTCCCTTGAACTACAAAGGATCTCAAAGCTTATTCATTTTTTTAGGGTTGTAGTCTCCAAACTTTTACGTTGTTGAGCGCACACTTCCCATTTTCTGAGTATTTTTTTTGTGAATTATATACATGTACTAACATACTAACAATTATGTATGCTATAAAAAGAAATTTTTTAAAGAACTAAAGACAAAGTACCTTTTTTTGGCAATTAGGGTGAAGTGACTTGCCCAGGGTCACCCAGCTGTTAAGTGTCAAGTGTCTGAAGTCTGATTTGAACTCGGGTCCTCCTGACTCCAAGGCAGGCGCGCTATCCACTGCACCACCTAGCTGCCCCAAAATAACTTCTTGTTCTGGAGTCAATAAGGAATGTGAAGTTTATTAAGTAAAAGAATGGTGTGTTCACACCTTTACTTTTGGGAAAATCACTTAGGCAGTTATGTAAAGGATGGGTTGGATTGAGAGGCTTGAAGTAGGAACACCAATAATGTAGCTAACCCATTAGTCCATGTGAAAGGTGATGAGGGCCTTAACTAGGATGTTAAATACATTATTTAATGTAATTTTTAATGATAACAATAAAATTAAATAATTAATATAACACTAGAAATAATTAATCAATAATGATAATTAGAGGCCATCTATTCCAACCTCCTCCTTTTACAGAGGAGAGAACTGAGACCCAGAGAGGTGCTGTCACTTGCCCAAGATCACATAGGTAATAATGGAGCCAGGATTCAAACCCAGGTCTTCTGGCATTATTTAAAATTATGTTAAATTATTTAAAATTATTAAAATAACAATGTTAAATACACTGGGGAGAGGAAGAATTTTTTAAATTTATTTTATTTTTAATTTATGGAATAAAACAAGCATTTCCATAACATAGCATAATAAGAAAGATGACTGAACATGAAACTGCAAATCTATTATATACATCATGCTATTCCTTTTAAATATTTAATAAAGTTATCATGTAAATTTCTTTTTCGTTATTTTCTTCTGTCCCTTCCACCCCTGCCCTAGAAATGACTACCATTAAACACAAATGGGCATATAGATATAGATATAGATATAGATATAGATATAGATATAGATATAGATATAGATATAGATATAGATATAGATATAGATATAGATATAGATATAGATATAGATATAGATATAGCTATAGAGATATAGATATAGATATAGATATAGATATAGATATAGATATAGATATAGATATAGATATAGATATAGATATAGATATAGATATAGATATAGATATAGATATAGATATAGATATAGATATAGATATAGATATAGATATAGATAGATAGATATAGATATAGATATAGATATAGATGTAGATGTAGATGTAGATGTAGATGTAGATGTAGATAGATATAGATATAGATATAGATATAGATATAGATATAGATATAGATATAGATATAGATATAGATATAGATATAGATATAGATATAGATATAGATATAGATATAGATATAGATATAGGTATATATATGTATGTATGTATACACACACACACACACACATATATATGATCATCCTATACTTCTATTTATCAGTTCTTTCTCTGGAAGATGCACACAATGTCTTTTTTCATATGTTAACAAATTACATTAAATGAAGTTGTGAAAACAGAAATCAGATTTGGCAAGTGATTGGACATGAAAGGTGAGAGAGAGAGTGAAAAGTCTAGTTGTGCAGCTAACACTTTGATCATGGGTGACTGAAAGGATAGCGGTATCTTCTACTGAAATAAGGAAGTTTGGAAGAGGAGTGGTTTGGGAAGAAAAGATAGTAAAATGAAATCTGTGGTAGAGATCATAACTCATCCATGCCTTCTTAGCCCATGAGACTCCTTCTGTTGCCTGGAAAATGAAAAAAAAAAGGGTGCAAGGAGATGGAGAAAGATTTTTACAAATCACAGCATAGGAGTATAGAACCTGCCCAGCACAGCCGCAAAAGGTGATCTGGGAAGAAGGGCTCAGGTGTGCAAAGGGCGATGGGAGAGGGACGTGCTTTTCCTGCTCAGTTGCTGGTGTGGTGCCAATACAGGGTTAGATTTTCATCACTTTGAGAGGCTGACTATAGGAGGGATTTTCCTAAAGCTTAAATTGGATCAGGTCACATCTGTGTGTCCCTCTTTCACATGTGTGCATGCATGTGTGCGCAAACACACACACATAAAAAAACACACTCAATAAATTCAAGTGACTCCCTATTGCTTCCAGGATCAAATACAAAATGATCTGCTTGGTATTCAAAACCTTTCATAATCTCTCCCCCTACTTTACAGTCTTCTTATACTTTACTCCACAATACGTAATTAATCCATTGACTTTGGCCTCCTGGCCATTCCATGAACAAGACGCTCCATCTCTTAGCTCTGTGCTTTTCTCTGGCTTTCCCTCATGGAGAGCCTGGAATGTTCTCCCTTCCCCACCCTTCCTACTGATCCCCCTGGCTTCTTTTAAGTTCCAACTAAAATCCCATCTTTTACTGGAAACCTTCTCCAATCCCTCTTAATTCTAGTGCCTTCCCTCTGTTATTTCCTATTTATCCTGTGTATGGTTTGTTTTGCATATATTTGTTCGCCTGTTGTCTCCCCCATTAGACTGTAAGCTCCTCGAGGGCAAGGACTGTCTTTTGCCTCTTTTTGCATCCCCAGCCCTTATCACAGTGTCTGGAACATAGCAGGAGTTTAATACCTGTTGATTGAGGTTGGAAACTTGCTTACTCATAGAAGATGAATAGTAGGATTGGAGCCACATTGGTTGATCTGATTTGGAGGCAGAGGTGGTTGTGTTGGAGAGAAGGCTTGCCACAGGAGACAAGAACTGCCACAGGGAGGGTGTAATGCGATCCATCTTCCCATCTTCCAATCATTTAATCACACATGACTTGGGGTCATACCACAGTCTCCCCAAGGGATAGAACCCCCACTTTGGAGACCACTGTACTAAAGTGTAGAAGACCCACCTGTCTTTCACTCAATTGTATGAAAGTGCTTGTGGAGTCAGTGAGACCAGTAACTATCAGAATAATACAATTATTGGCCATAGATTCAGAAGAGACTTTAGTGGCCATCTAGGAAGCCAAATGGTTCTGGCATTATTTAAAATTATGCTAAATTATTTAAAATTATTAAAATAACGTGATGTTAAGTATATTGGGGAGGAGGAAGAATTTTTTTAAACTTATTTTATTTTTAATTTATGGAATAAAATAAGCATTTCTATAACATAGTATGATAAAAAAAAAGATGACTGCACATGAAACTGCAAATCTATGGTGTACAATTTGCTATTCCTTTTAAATATGTAATAAAGTTATCATGTAAATTTATTTTTCTTTCTTTTCTTCTGTCTCTTCTACCCTGCCCTAGAAATGACTACCATTAGATACAAGTAGGCTATATATATATATATATATATATATATAATATATATATATATATATATATATATATAATCCAGAAATCATTCCATGAGATTATGTAGCACTATCCTGCCATCTCATCACTCCCAACTCTTTCCAAGATGGATGGAGTCCCTGGCTAACAAAAAGAGCTTCAGGGATTGGGATTCCTCATTCCAATAGAGTATTAAACTCACTGACTTCCAATGAGTTTAATCATCCAGTCAAATGAGCCAACCAGAAGGGTGTTAAATGTGACAAAGTTACCAAGCTGCCTCCTGCCTGGGAGAGAAGAACACAGGAGTCTCCTTATTGCCTAGATAAACATAACCAAATTAAAAAAAAAATGCTTATTGAGTTTGAAGAAACTGGCTGCTCATGCAAAAGTATAACTAGATTCACACTTGCCCTCTTTTGTTTCATTTTTCCAGTCAGACTTACATAATATCCTCCTCATACCACAGTTAGCCTAGGCATAAGAGGACACCTAAAAAGTGTGTTTTGAGCAGACTATAAAATATTCCTTTGGTTTATCCTTCTCCCTGCCCTGAAAATCTGCATCATTAAGATCACTCTTTTGAGTTAGCTGAAAAAGATGGAGCATGAACTCCAGAAGGACACTTAAAACACATCAGCTAAGTACCTACTGTGATCCAGGTATCGTTCTAAGGGCTGTAGTTACACAAGCAAAAATGAAACCATTCCTGCCCTCCAGGAGCTTATATTCTATTGAGGGAAACAACAAGTAAACATATAAGTAATAAAATAAATACAAAATGAAGACAAAGTGTTATGGGAAAGTAAACTAACAACTTGGGAAGGAGGGTCCAGGAAAAGCAGCATATGCTACCTGGAAGGGGAAGGAGAAATGGGACCAAAGAGCCAACTAGCCCTCTCCCTTTAAAATTTGAGCATGGCCTTTGGATGGGGGAGGGCAGTTAGGTGATGCAGTGGATACAGCACAGGCCTGGAGTCAGATAGACTCCTCTTGAGTTCATATCTGACCTCAGATACATACTAGCTGTGTGACCCTGGGCAAGTCACTTAACCTTGTTTGCCTCAGTTTCTTCACCTGTAAAGTGAGCTGGAGAAGGAAATGGCAAACCGCTTTAGTGTCTTTGTCAAGAAAACCCCAAAGGGGGTCAGAGAGTTGGACATGACTAAAAACAACTGAACAGCAGGAACAATGGATCAGGAAATGGCCACATTATGGTTCATGCACAGAATGGAAGGTTATTTCACTGTAAGAAATGATGACTATGAAAAATCCAGAGAAACACGGGAGGGCATAAACTAATACAGAAGTAAGCCAAACCAGAAAAACCATATACACAACATATATGGAAAGAATTTTGTAAAAGAAACTCAACAATTATGATCAAGAGATTTGAAAATGCACCTTCTTCGTTTCTTTGTGGAGGTTGGAGACAATGGGTGAGGGACATTGCTTACACTGGAGGATTTGGGTGATTGATGCATTTGCTGAACTCTTTTTTTTTTTCTCTTTCTGTTTTGTTCTTTGTTACAAGAGATGGTTCACTGAGTAGGGGAGGGAGAGGGTAACATTTAGATAAGAAGGTTACATCAAAATGAAAGTTTTAACAAATAAACATTTTACACATTAGCATAGATTCAATGATTCTGTCCTGATGAGCAGAAACTATTTTAATTTTAGTCTTTGTATTCCTAGTACCTGGTATAGTGACTGACATAGATTCAGTCCTAAGTAAAGGCTTGTTCAATTCAATTCAGTTGAATCCTTTGTCAGCTTAACTAGTTGTTCCCTTGAGAAAATAAAGAATAGAGTCCTATGATATCAAGTGGATAGATCTAAGTTGGGAGTTCAGAAGTTGGGATTGGTGGGAAAATGCGGAACCTAGGGCACTTCAGATGAATGGCCCCAGGTGTGGCTTTCAAAGGGAGAGAAAAGGAGGCTGATAGAAGGCATGAGAAGACCATCTACGTTTACCGCTTCTCTCCCCACAGCATACACACACCCACACACACACACACACACACACACACACACACACACACACACACACACACACACACACACACACACACACGAGAACCCAAAGGCAGGGTCCAGAAAGCAAATTTTACCTAATTCACCATTTTATGTTCTTCCAGGCTGTTGGTTGGAAGGGGTTAATAGACAAAAAGGAAACATTGCCCCGTTGAAAACTCTTTCTTCCCTTAAGAGTAAACATGAAACACCTGATTTCCTGAGTCCAATTTCCAACTAGAATCATAAACAAGGACTGTTTCATAGATTTGATTTGGGACAAAGATATAAGGTATGGCACGGGTAAAGGCACACCCTGTGGGCAAAAAAGGTGGTCCATGGAAGTTACTGCCCACATGGTTAGAAAAAACCCTGACCTGTTATCAAAGACAGATATAACACTGTTTTCATTCTTCACATTGCTATGTAGAGAGAAGTGAGAATCTTGTGGTCAAAACCAAAGATATACACTACTGGCCAAGATAGGTGACTCAAAAGGTTTTTACCATTTTCAGTAAATCAGAAAATAAGATAGGTGTGCTTTGTTAGCTTCACCCACAGCTATGATATGTATATACAACAACAACAACAAAATGCATCTTCCTCTTTTTAAAATTCTTTGTCACATGAGATGGCTCTCTGAACAGCCGGGGCAAGAGGAACATATTTGAAAATGAAGGTGATTTCAAACAAAATATGGGAATTTTTTACAAGTATTTTTTTATTAAACTTTAAACATGCCCCTGAAAACACAAAACTTTTGGAATGGTGTCTACAAATCACAGAATTGGATCTGGAAGGGATCTAAGAGATCATCTATTCCAACCTTCTCATTTATAGTTCATTAAACCGAGTCCTAAAGAGGTAAAATGATTTGCCTAAGATCACACAACTCCTAAGGAATAAAGTTAGAATTCAGGGTTATGTCTTCTGACTCTACAGCTAGTACACTTCCCTCTAGGCCACACCAATGCCATAATACTTATAATATGTTTGAGAATTATTTCAACTTGTGACTTTGCCTATTAACAAGTGATTTGACCAAGGTCATAATGACGGAGCCAGGTCAAACTCTTAGATCTATTGAACCCACCCAGACCAATAGCCTTTTCATTACGCTGCCAAAAATTTTTTAAAAAGCCAAAGTTATTTGCTAACTTAGCTTAATACATAAAGTTGGAATCACAGACTGTGAGAGGTGGAATGACCTTAGAGGCAATCTAGTCCAACCTTCTTATTTTTCCCAGATAAAGAAACCGAAGTCCCCAAAAAGGAAGCTACTTGCCCCGGAGGTCATACAGATAATAATTTAAAGAATTGGGATTCGAACCTAGATCTTCTGGCTCTATATCCAGCGTGCTGTTGCTTCACTTACACCATTCAGACCAACAGCTGCATCCCTATACTAGTCTCTTATGCCAGTGTTCTTTCCTCTATGCTAAATGTTGTCCTTTATGCACAACCAAAAACCATAAACTATAAAGTGGAAGAAAGAAATATCCTCTGAAGCTTCTCTACCTCAGCAAATGTCCTCTGACTTACAGCAGGCAGGAATGGAGCTAAGAAGCCTGATAGGAGCTTAGATCAGAATAAGCGCCCCTGTGACCATGGCCCAGCTGACAACATCTACCTAAGTATTTTCTGCTTTCCATCTTATGTCACCCCCTGCATCTGTCTTTTCTTTTAAATTCTGTTACCTCCAACATGAGCACCTCCCACAAATTCCCAAGCCAGCAGCTGGAAGACCCCCAGTCTAAAAAAAAACAACCAGGAGAGGACCCATAATGAAAAAGAGGGGCGCCACTTGATTCTTCACTGAGAGATGTGTCAGTGACTTCAACAATCCATCAGAAGCATAAGGTGCATACTAGTGAATCACCCTCTGGGGAACTGTGCTGAACAAACCTCAGAACACTTACTCAGACAGAGCTCAATAACCATCCAGAGACGCAGCGCTCCACTGGTCATTTTGGCTAGTTCCCGATCCTGAGATGCTGTGTCTCCTTTCAAAATACATTGCTTATAAATGCTAGAATGCTGACAGGGTCGAACCCTTTGAGTTTCAGTTCTCTGTTCGCTTCAAACTTTTTTTTTTCATCTCCTCCTAAATGGCCTCTCAAGATATGGGATTTGCTGAGCACACTTTCCTAGATACTGGGGGTTGGATCGAGGATGCCTGTGTGTGCATGGTTGCATTTTGCAATCTTTGCAATTGCTCAGCATTCTGAGGAAAGACAGCCTGAATGACCAAAATGGTGAGTTTTTTGTTTGTTTTCGTTTAATTTTTTTTTTTTGCAATCTCATGGGAACCTAAGGGAGTTGAAATGAAAGTTTGCTTCCAGCTGCCACCTATGTGATATCTTTCACCCTGATTCCTTGCATTTTTTTTCTCTTAATAAAGGCGAGAAAAAACTAAGAAAAAACAGCCGCAGTTCATGCAGTAAGGGAAAAAACAGAAAAGGTGACAGGAGATCCTTCCTCATGGCGGTGGTGATGATGTTGATATAGGATAGATTCAAAGCTTAGGAAAATCCATGGATTTGGTAATGGTGAGGCAGGAGAGGGGAGCAGCTAGGTGGTGCAGTGAATAAAGTGCGGGGCCTAGAGTTAGGAAGTCTAATCTTCTTGAGTTCAAATCCTGCCTCAGACACTAGCTGTGTGACCCTAGGCAAGTCACTTTATCTCATTTGCCTCAGTTTCCTCATGTGTAAAATGAGCTGGAGAAGGAAATGGCAAATCACTCCAGTATCTTTGCCAAGAAAACCATAGAGTTGGACATAACTGAAACTACTGAACATCGATAAAAGGCAGGAGATATATAAGAGTCTTACCCCAAGGCTTAACTTTCATGCTGCTTAGAACTATTTGTATTGCAGGAGCAAAAAATACTGGGTCGTTCCCCCCCCAAAAAAACTGCAAAGTTTCTGTGCACAGAGATCTCTGAAGTATTTGTGGCAGAATTCCCTTGGAATGAATTTAAGGCCACAGGGCTCCAAGTCAAAAAACGAACACCAAGTTACATAGACTTTTTTATTCTAAGCTAGAGAGAGGTCTCTAACAGAGATTCAGGCTTTAGTGACCAGGAAATAGAATTTTAAAAAAATTATTCTTAAGGAGGCATGTAAACTAGACATATCTCCACAGACTTTGTCCTGGAACAAGGCATCTCCTTCTAAAGAGGAAATCCTATTCTATCTGAGGCTCAGAACAAGCAGACAGAGACCACCCTGTGGGAGGAGGAGGAGGAAAAAGCTTTTCCATTGACAGGGTATGTTAGATCTTCTTTCTAAAAGAACTCTAGAAGAAAACCTATGGTGCTATCCATATCTCAATAGAGAAGTGATGGACTCAGGGTACAAATTGTGACTTTTTTTTTACATGACCAATTAAAGAATTTGTTTTTTCTAGGCAATATAAATTTCTGACAGGGTTTTGTTTTTCTTGCTTTCTCAGTTGGGGAGAAGCCACTTAAGGAAGGAAGAAAACAACTGGAATCTGAAAGGAAAATAAAATTCAGTTAAAAAGAAAAAAGAAAACCTATGGACTATAGTAAAATAAAATTTAGTTAAAAAGAAAAAAGAAAACCTATGGACTATAATCAAGACAAGACTTGAAAAAATGGACTGTTTGTCAAAGGTAGACTTACTATCCAAAATGACAAAGGTATAGTTTAATGACAAAGAATTCAAAAACATATATATATAAATCTTGTGAACTAATGTTAAATTATTCAAAATGAAAGGATATATTGCATACTTTTTTTTAATTAAAAAAGACAACTATAGTAGGAAATGCTTCACAGTTTTAAATTTCCCACTCCTACACCCATCAGAAAGAGATGACGCCCTGGCTAGGAACTCCAGCTAAACCAAAAGCTGGGAGCCTGGGGAGATGCGTAGCTGCCCTTGGCAGCAGAGACACCAGGACCATCTCCTGCATATGGGGTCCTCCCTGTGTGTGTCCTGCCTATATTTGGGGTGGGGTTCCAGTTCTGCCACTCAAGTAATTGTATGACCTTAAGGAAACCACTTTATCCTCAGTTTCCTTGTTTGTTAAATGAAGGTTTTAGGCTCAATGAACTCCAAAATTCATTTTAGTTCTAAATAATATAATATACAGGGTTGTTGTAAAGGAAAGTGCTTTGCAGACAGTAATTTCATCAGGGACTCCCAGGTGAGGAAACTCCCTCTACTAATTTAAGTATGCACCTTCCCTAGCTGCCTGAGCCACTTAAGAAGTTAAATCACTTGCTCAGAGTCATATAACAAATATGTATCAGAGGCCAGATTTGAACTCGTCTTTTCCTGACTCTGAGACTAGCTCATTGTAAATGATGTCATACTGCTTTGGTAGTATAATTGTTACTACCATTATAATATTGTATAATATTATACATGATTTTATTTGCTTATGATTATAATTTAATATAACCATAAATACTTATGGGAAGATGTATTCTGAGCACCAATTTAAAATATCATCAACCCACTTCCAACCAAATAGCAGAAGTCAGAACTCTCCTTTCTCTACTCCTTCCCCCAGAAGGAAAGAATCCTTCAGTTTCATATCACTAGTAGAGATTGCCCGTGGCCTTGGTGCAAGAGCTCCAAGGACTGGAGAGGCATTGTGAGGTGGACAGGAAGGAACTGAAATCTAAGATCAAGGATAGCAGCTCCAGAGGGTGGAGATAGTCAAGTAGAGTCAACACTCTAGCTATTACAACCCTCTTTATTTTCTTCCTTGGAATGGTCCAGTCTATTGGCTTCCATTTCTATAGCCATATCCTCCCAAGACCCCTATAGAAAAAGATATAGTTCCACGGATTCTCTGTCTTTCTATAGCAAGTGCCAACCTTACTCAGCAGGGAACCAAGGAGGAATGGATAAGGAGGAAATGGTTACATTAGGAAAGCAAAAATATATACTGTGACTGGAGTAGCTATTCTGAGCTAGTGATTTCTATATAAGAGACCTAAGAATGTGCAAAGGCAGTTTTCAAAGAAAGAATAAAAAGACTCATATGTACAAAAGTATTTGTAGCAGCACTTTTTGTAATAGCAAAGAAGTGAAAACTAGGGAGGTGTCCATCAATTGGAGAACGACTAAACAAAGTGTAGTATGTGGTTGTAATGGAATACAATTGCACTGTAAGACATGACAAAATAGATGATTTCAGAGAAACTTGGAAAGATTTCTATAAACCAATATAAAGTGAAATAAGCAGAACAAGGAGAAGAATCCGTATGAGAACAAAATTATGAAGGAAAATATCTTAGAAAGATTTGAGCACTCTGTGATTAACCAATCACTGTTCTGAAAGACTCATGATGAAGAAAACTTCCACAGAAAGGTGACAAATGAGAGATATAGAATGCATTTTCAGACTCAGTCAACATAGGAATTCTTTTTTTTTGACTACATATATATATTTGTTACAAGGGCTTTGTTTTTCTTTTTCTGATTTATTTCAGTATTAGGGGAGAGTGGGAAGGTCATGGAAGTAGAAGTAGAGTATCAAAAAAGAAAAAGAAAGAAAGTAAAGCAGATTGTTGAGCATTTTTGGTTTTTGTTTTTTAATTCAGAGAAGATAACAGAAGGAAGGGAAGCATAGACAAGGACAGCTTTGAAACCTGCAGGTTAAATTAAAGCTATCATATACTTCGAAAACAAAAGCAAGCTATACAAAATAGAGTTCTGTAGTTTCATGTGCAATCCTCTCCTTCTATTCAAATATGTTTATGGAAGTACTAATTTTATTGGCTGTTTTTTACATTTTTTTAAGCAAAAGTTTTGCTTCTCCATTTTCTTAATTGGGAGTGAGGATAGTGGAAAGGGAGGGATAGGGGAGCTAGAGGTAAGGGAAGAAAGAGAAAGAAAGAAAGAAAGAAAGAAAGAAAGAAAGAAAGAAAGAAAGAAAGAAAGAAAGAAAGAAAGAAAGAAAGAAAGAAAGGAGGGAGTGAGGAAGGGAGGAAAGAAGGAAGGAAGGAAGGAAGGAAGGAAGGAAGGAAGGAAGGAAGGAAGGAAGGAAGGAAGGAAGGAAGGAAGGAAGGAAAAAATGGGAGTCATTGGGAAATATTTTTGAAGTACACAGTAGAGAAGCAAAAGGAAGACCAGAAGGGATCATAAAGTAAAACAACTTTGAAAGCAACATGTTGAATTTGTTATATATTTTTAAAGAAAAGTAAGCTGCACATAACAGATTTACGGTTTTATCTACCACCTTCTCTTCTACTATGTAAATGAAAATGTTTATTTTAGTTGATATTTGTTAATTTCAGAATTTTAGAAATGGGGGGAGGGAACATGCTAGTGGAGCCGTGTGAGCCAAGCACACCTACGTCAGGGACTAATGAGCAATCGCGAGAATTTGACCTCCGGCAGCGAGGAGAGAGTCCCATGCAGATGGGCTTTGGGCCTGGGATTAAGAAACAGTTCTTCAAGGTTTTTCAACGTTTTTCATTTGATCTCACAACCCCATGAAACAGGTGCTACCATTATCCTCATTTTACAGAGGAGGAAATCAAAGCTTATGGAGGCTAGGATATTTGCTCAGGGTCGCACTGCTAGTGAAAGTCGTCCTGACCCTGGCTCTGACATTCTATCCACTGTGACGTCTAGCTACCTTTAAAGAGAGTAGAGTAAACCCCACTGATGGCTGTAACGGGCATTTTCCCTGCATGGACTACCACTGTGTGGATTTTGGGTCTGAGCTTCTAGGTATTCATATTAAAAAAATGGTAAATCAGCAAATATTTGTAGGGCACCTCCACATACATGATTCTGTGAGAGATAGCCAAAAGCCTAAGACAGGATTCCCATCCTTAAGGAAGTTCAGGAGAAAAAGAATAAAACAGGAAAGGCGATGTAATGATACAAAGAAGTGTTACGGTTGTTCTAGTTGGGGGAAATTTATGAAAGTATAGGTGTGGAAACGAGAGTGACAGCAATATAAATAACAACAATAAAAAACAATGTAATATAAACTGAATGTGCATTATAATATGTAA